TTCTCAGTTGCTGCTGAGTGGCTGGCCCAGGCATTCGCCAGTAGCCTGCACAGACAAGGTGGTGATGAAGCCAGCCCCGGCCTCGGATTCCAGGCTGAGCTCCTGGGCTCCTGCCAAGTGCCTTGGGCAGTCACGAGATGTCTTTTGGCCTGGGAGATAAGAGGCTTAGACACAGGTCTTTAATCTCTCCCTGGCTTCCCCATACCAGGTTTATGGAGCACAAAGATGCTAGCCAAGAAACAGCCTCTCAGATTCTTTGCTGGGGGAACCACTTGGGGCTGCAAGACCCCTGGGATTCTTGGGGATCCTTGCTCTGCTGCCGTCTCAGCCTGGGCAGAGGAGAAGGGAGGGGGTTAGTCTCTCTCCCCCTAACTTAGTGTGAACAAATTCACTCAGGTTGCTCTCTATACCTGGTAAGGATGACAGAGTTCTTACGGAGGGTGGAAAACAGGAGAGGCAATTGGAAGCCAAAGCCATCGAATGGCTAAAAATCTCACAAGGTTAGCACAATCAGGGCTCCCCAGAGGACGTGGCTCCCAGGTGACAGGTACAGAAGCGTGGGGGTCGCTTCCTGGAGATGGTCACCCCACGAGGCATGCTGCAGGAACCTTTCTGCCATGGCTGCCGAGCCGTACCTCTTAGGGGATGTATGAGGAGCACCAATTTCTCTAAATTACAAATGGTGAAGAACGTTTCTTCTCAGTTTAGTTACCGCCACCTCCCTCCTCTCTCTCATCTTTTATCTCCTCCATCTAGCTATTATTTTGACATTGTATTGCCAGTCTTTACAATTCAGTTCAAAAAGCATACCCACATTATTTCTTGGGGATGACAAAATCTTTTGCATTAAAGGGTAAAAAAAAGGATTGGCTGATGTTTCTACCAAATTTTTTTTTTAGGTGCTTTTTTTTAAAATCTTGGAATAAGATATCCTGCTTTGTTCTGCTGTTCCTGGTCTGTTCAAAATGTTTTTCAGTAGGCCTTCAATCTGACACCAGATTTTTTCCCCTCATACATTTCAATAGGTGCTTCTCTAATGAATGGCAAGTCATCTTCAGTGATCAGCATCTAGGATCAATCACTCCTCGTGCCTTTAATTAAATCTTCAAGTTGGAAACTATGTAGTGAGATCCTTTATTCAAAATACCAAAAGGAAACATAAGCAGGCTTGATTTCTTGTTGTAACGATGCCAATTTTCCATAATCTGACCTTCACTTGACACCAGTGGACCAGACCTTTCTTCAAAGTCGTGTATGTATTTTTATAATCTGGATGCACAAGACGATGACAGAGGATTATCTTCGGTCATTAAAGATGTTGGAACATTCTTTATTACAGATGGAAAAAAATAGCCCTGTGGTTAGTTATGATTCTTATTTGAAGCTGACTTGAGTTGTCTTTTGTTGTCACAAGGTGTGGACTCCAAATATAGGATTATAAGAAACTACAATCTTTAGGACCAATATTTAAAATCAGATTAGATACGTGACTCACACATTGTGCAGTCATATTTTGCAGAATAGTGAAAGTCGTGTGCTTTCATAAAAAAGGCAAACGTACTCACAAACAAGAAAACTATCTGTATTCTCTTCCCTGAGCAAGCTGTACTTATGATCAAGGAAAATTTATCGATGCTTTGCTTTCAGGATATAGGCTATGTTTCATTCTTCCATGACCTTTTTTGTGTGTTTGTTTTGTAAGAAAAAAAGTCAATTTGTTTTTAATCCACAAAATCCTTCTAGAATATAAATAACGAAGTGATCAGTTACAGGGAAAACTGACATGGCCACAAGATGCCAATGTCAGAAGAAATTTAATTTGACAATGAAGCGTTAGGTCACCCTTAAGACATAAAACATACAATGGTAAATTTAAGATGAAGCTGCAAAACTGTGCGAGTAATAAAGAGTCTCACTCAGTTTCGCTGTTTGGCTGCCGAGCACCTTCAAGCGCACCTTCCCCCTTTCCCTTTCTACCCCACATCTGGGCAAGCTGATGAGAAAGCCCAGGAGCTTCGTCCTTTGGCACCACTAGGAAGTTCAAACCATGCGTGGCCCGGCCTGTGTGCAGGGATGTGCAGGAACCCTCGCCCAGCCCCACCTTCTAACCACAGTAAAACCGAAGCCCGTCAGTCACCTTTCCCTGCTCTCTCTCGAGACATTTCTGGATCTCCCTGAAAGCCTGCCCTGCACCCCCCAGCAAGCTGCATAAGAGGAATAAAGCTTTTCATGTCCTCTTGGTGTGTGTGTCTCATCGTCAGTTTTGACAACTAAACCAAATTTTGTGTTGGGGGGTGAAGTCCATCCCACCTCTGCAGGGTGGTCACAATACAGAAAAAGTTTTCGTATGTGTACACATATTAGTAAGTACACCGTAAGCAGAAAACAAAACCATAAAGAAATAGACTGAAACATTAACAGTGATTATCTCTGAGCAGTAGGACATGGGTTTTCTTTCCTCTTCAAAATTCCTGCTATAAACACATAGTTTTTAATATATATAATAAAAAAGCAAGGTAGCATGCAATATAGAGTAAAAAATATAATGCCTTAAGTAAGAGAAAAGAAGGAAAAGGCTCAAATCATTTTGATTAGTTTTGTTAACTATAAATACATACACAACAAAAGTACATACACAACAAAACCAAATCAAGCGTCACATGATCAGCTTTTCCTATCTCTCCTGAAAAGAAAAAAGAAAAAGGAAAAAGGGGAAGTATGGAAAAAAAGGGAAACTCATGAAGTAAAGTTTCACTTTTTAGGAAAGTTTAAATTTAATCTTTGAAACTATTTGGATGAAAATCAGTATGGGGAAACATATTTCTGCGCACACACACAGACACACACCCCTTATCCTCAGGACTCAAAGGCTGAACTGAACTCTTTTAAACCTAGAACCATCTTACTATTGCACCTGAAACTAATTTTAAAAATAAAGAAAAAAATGTATTAACATTAGCATCCTATACGTGTGTGGCCATTCACTGTGTTGCAGGTTTTCACTCAAGGGACAGGAGGTCTTGTTCTGTAAATTTCCTATTAGAAAAATTGGGGTGGGGAAGGGCAGAAACTATTATATTCCAGACACATGTGACCTCCTGTGGATGATGTGTGATTCCCCCATCTTAGAGCTGAGGGAACGGATGTACCAGGTCACATGACTAGGAAGTTGCAGAGCTAAGAACCAGAACCAGGCAATCTGACTTGAAAGCCCCACTTTGTAACCCAGCCCCCCCCCCCCTTACCTCTGGATGTTCTTGATTCAGCCTGATGTAAAGGGGCTGAACAAATGATGTTTCCCACGAGTGCAGTGGTCCTCAAAACGGAGCCTGCACCAGAATCGCCTGGAAGGTTTGCTAGGGTCTTTGAACTCTGAAGGAGTTCCTTTGATTTATGGGGTGTTTAAGGCTGACAGAGGGCAAAAGTGGCCACACTGAAGCTTCCAGTCCTGTAAGCGGCCGGTCTCCACACACTGGGCTGCCTCCACTAGTCAGGGCCTTCCCTTCAGGGCTGCTTCCTCCTCTGCTCTCTGTTGGTTAAATAGCTGCTCCCCCAGGTGAGGTTTCCCTGGGCCAATTACTCACTTAGGAACCAGGAGATTTCTTCTTTTGTTTCAGTCCTCAAATGCCTACATTTAAATAGTATCCCCAAGGGGGTGTTATTAGGCTTGGGGAAGTGAAGAGAGGAACTTAAATCTTCTTAGCCTTATCATGGGAGAACAGAGGCTGATCCTGAGAGGATCAACCCACAAGCACTGTGGGTACTTGGCCACTTACTAGGTGGGTGGGAGTCTTGGGGAGGTTTTTGAACTACCTCATCTGGGGAGTGAAGCATTTCCTGGGTTATCCTTTGGGGAACAATGAGGATTAATTATGCTTCCAGTAGAGGGGAGAAACCTGCTCAGCCTTTAAGGTACATTAACGATTTGAGGTACCAGAGTGGCTTTCTCTGAATCCTTAAAAAACTGGCAGGAAATTAAGAGTCTCAAGAATCTGGGGGGCGGGGGGGAGTGTTATTCCATAGGGTAAACAGGTTGTGTTCTGATGACCAGTTTATCAGGTAGGTGGTAAAATGCCTTGGAAGCAGTGCTTAGGAAAATGGCAGTGTGCAAGCCCAAAATAAAAACCACGGATGATCCCAACGCAGAACTGAGATTTAAAGAACCCCCTACTTGGCTGCCTTAGCATAGGACGTCTTAAGGCCTCAGGTTTTCCCTTGGCTCGTTTCTTTCTGTCAAACCTAGAGAAAAGTCAATTAGTTTGCTCTGTTGTAGAGATGAA